GGTGGCATACACCTGTAGTCCCAGCTACTTGGGAAGCCGAGTCAGGAGAATCGCTTGAACCTAGGAGGTGGGGTTTGCAGTGTCCTAGGATCCTGCCATTGCACACCATTCTGGGTGACAGAGTGAGATTCCATCTCAAAAAAAGAAAAAAAAAAAGTAGGTAGCAAAGCATTGAGTTTATTGTGCCATAACATTATGGCTGCACTAAACGCATATACATCTTATATAGCTTCACATTTTGGTATAGATATATCACTCTTATCTTGACTACAGTGTGACCAGCATTGACAACATTAATCTTTTCCCAAAATCAGTGAATTCCTCACTTTATTTTTTTTAAGAGACAAGGTCTCACACTCTGTCACCCAGGTTGGAGTTTAGTGGCATAATCATAGCTCACTGTAACCTTGAACTCCTGGGATTCAAGAAGTTCAAGGTTACAGTGAACTCCTTGAGTTCCCAATGGCTAGGACTACAGGAACATACCACCATACTCAGCTAGTGTGTGTGTGTGTGTGTGTGTGTGTGTGTGTGTGTGTGTGTGTAGAGATGGGGTCTCATTGTGTTACTGGTCTTGAACTCCTGCCCTGAAGCAGTCCTCCTCCCTCAGCCTCCCAAAGTATTGAGATTACTGGTGTGAGCCATGATGTCCAGCCCTATACTTTATTTGCTAGTGATACCACCATTCTCCTGGGTACTGAAGCTCAGAACTTATTTGATCCATTATTCTATGTGTAATAGTTACAAAAATCTCTTTAGGGCCTTCCAGGAAAGATTTATTGCATTCAGCCCTTTCCATTTCTATTTTCTATTTATGATCCTGCCTTCATCCTAGTTTAAACTTTCAGCATACGTGATTTTAGTGCTTCAGCCCTATTCCTTGTTTCCATGATTTTATCCTTTCTCTTTCATAGAGCCTTAATTGATTTTTATTATATGCTTGCCTGAAGATCCTGAAAAGGCAGGAATTTTTTTTTTAAATTAATTAATTTATTTTTTGAGAGAGTCTAGCTCTGTCGCCCAGGCTGGAATGCAGTGGCACAATCTTGGTTCACTGCAAACTCTGCCTCCCGGGTTCAAGTGATTATCCTGCCTCAGCCTCCCAAGTAGCAGGGATTATAGGCATGTACCACCATGCCTGGCTAATTTTGTATTTTTAGTAGAGACAGGGTTTCTCCATGTTGGTCAGTCTGGTCTTGAACTGCTGACCTCAGGTGATCCACCTGCCTCAGCCTCCCAAAGTGCTGGGATTACAGGCATGAGCCACTGTGCCTGGCCAGGAATTTATGCTTACTATACGATGTAGGCACGCACAGGATAAGGAGACAGATAGGATATTTTAAATATTGTAGTCTTCTCCGAGGGAACTGACCTTTACATATCTGAATCAAGTGAAGTAATATGAAGACCATAGGGAATGATGTTTCAGAGGGATAAAATATTAAGTGTGAAAGCCCTGACATTAGAAATGAGCTTGAGTGTTTCGTGCAATAAGGCCAGCAAGGCTAGAGCAGACTGTGGAAGGGAGAGAGCAGGCAAGGTAAGGCCAGCAATTTAGTCAGAGCTCTAATCACCATACACTGTATAAACTATCATAGGAAATTTGAATTAGTTCTAAATGTGGAGGGACGTCATTAGGGAGTTCTGAGCAGGGGAGCAAAAGTTATCCAATTCATGTTACAAGTTTGTTCTGGCTCTTGGATAGAGAATGGGCTATAGGGCAACAAAAGTGAAGACTGAGAGCAATTATAAGGCTATTGCAGTAATCCAGGCTTTAATTGCTTTTTTATAAATGTTACAGGACCGAAAACTATCCAGGGTAAAATTATATTATCTAATAATAGGCAAAAAGTCTTAATGTCTTCTTCTGGGTACAGGAGGATAACCAATAAATTATGAAGTTGCCTGGTTACAAATTCCACTGTAAAGCCAAGGCTGGGCAAGTAGAGGGGAATAAAACTCACCTTAAGACTCTACCAAATGCAAGGAAGCTACCATCCCAAGGAAGAGGAGGCATGGTAGGAGAACTGAGACCCCCTCACTTCATAGCTTTACCTACTGAAGGCAGAAACCCTTAGGCATTCTAGGTTCTCATTTACAAAGACTGGAGTATTAATTATCAGGAGAGCTTAAAGAAATCTCTCTCCAGCCAGGTCTTAAAAGACCTAAGATCTAGTAACATAGCTGAACAGATAACTTGATGCTCAAAAATGAAGAGCAAGACTGAAAATCATAGACAACTCCTTACAGATTAAAAATCAGTAGCCAGGTGGTAAATCAGAGGAAGATCTTCCAACAGTTTGAAGGGCTGGAGACTTGGTTTTAAAGCATAGGTAGATCTCGAATCTGGCCAGCACTCAGATTCCTCACCAGGCAGAAGAGAAAGACATTCCACCTGCCAGGCCTTTGAAGCCAGTGCTATAGTGAATCAGACTATAACTTCAGTTAAAGTCCAGACAGAACTGTGACCTTACAAAAGAAATAGCATGACCCTTTCTGGAGGTAAATATTTTCTGCCTGAGTCTCTAGACTTTTTTTATATTCAATATCCATTAAAACAATAAACAACCATACACACATACAAACACACACGTGAGAAATTGTGGCCCTCATTAAAGAGAGAAAACAGTCAATGGTAGCAGACTGAGAGAAGGCTTAGATCAGTTATTGGAAAGAGACTTTAGAATTACTATAATAAAGATCCTACATTACCGTGAGGAAAAGGTGGTCTCCATATACATGAAGCGATGGAGGAATTTCAGTGGGGTAGTGACAGTTTTTTTTTTTTTTTTTTGAGTCAAATGGATACTGATGGGGACAAAGATACAAGAGACAAAATTGCAAACCAGTATCCTTCATAAATGTACACGCAACAGTCTTCAACAAAAAGCTCAGCAGCCACATTCAGCAACACACTAAAAGGATTATACACCATGATCAAGTGGGATCTATCCCAGGAAGGCAAGAGTGGTTCAACATAGGAAAATTAAAGTATGTAATATACCACATTACTAGAATGAAGAGAAAAACCAGGTAATCATCTCAGTTGATGGAGAAGAAACATTTGACAAAATTTAACAGCCTCAAATTCAACAGCCTTTCATGATTTAAAAAAAGCAAAAGAAAACAGCAAACTAGGAATAGAGGGGAACTTAGCATGATCAAGGGCATTCCTGAAAAATCCACAGCTGACATCATACTTAATGTGAAAGACTGAAAGCTTTCCCTCTAACATCAGGAACAAGACAAGGATGGCTGCCTTCATTACTGCGATTCAGCCTTATGCTAGAAATCCTAGCCAGAGCAATTAGGCAATAAAAAAGAAACAAAGGCATCGAAAACAAAAGGCGGGCTCACACACGCGCGCACACACACTCTCTCTCTCTCTCTCTTTCTCTCTCTCTCTCTCTGTCTTCACTCCCCATTCCTTTCACAGTCACTCTCTCTCCCTCCCTCCCTTCTGAAGATTGTTGAAATTGTTTAAGTAGGCATTTAACTTGGTTGGAGTCAGCCTGGGAAACTTGTCTCCGTGTGGTTGGTGGCAGCTCAAAATCTCATTTCAGGTTTTTTAGCCTTGGGTTCTGTCCTGTTTGAGCATGGTTAGAGGTCAACCAAAGAAAGGTTTGGGCAGAGTTTATATGTATAGTTTGGAGCTCCCTGCCTCTGTCTCCTTTCTGGGATTTCCCTATCACTTTCCAGAGGCTGTGGTTGTCCCAGATTTTGTTCTTGGTTCTTTTTTTTTTCAGTGACCCTTGGTGCTAAATGTTCTTGGTTCATTGAAGCCCTGAATTTGGGCTGTAGGGTTTTTTTATGGGAGTTTTAGCTGGTCTGTAAGGCATGCACTGTGGCTTTTTCTCAGGTTAAAAGCCATAAAAACAGGAAACATGCCCTTTGTAATAACACATATGTTAAAATGTATATGTTTCAACTTGCCTCCAGTATCTGCTTGTTTTTGGTTGCTCTCCATCAGGCCATTCTTTTTTTTTTTTTTTTTTTTTGGTGATGGAGTCTCACTTTGTCGCCCAGGCTGGAGTGCAGTGGTGCATTCTGGGTTCACTGCAACCTCTGTCTCTCAAGTTCAAGCGATTCTCCTGCCTCAGCCTCCTGAGTAGCTGGGACTACAGGTGCGTACCACCATACCCGGCTAACCAGCTAATTTTTTATATTTTTAGTAGAGACAAGGTTTCACCATGTTAGCCAGGATGGTCTCCATCTCCTGACCTCGTGATCCACCCATCTCGGCCTCCCAAAGTACTGGGATTACAGGTGTGAGCCACCGTGCCCATCAGGTCATTCTTTATATTTGTTCCAGTTTATAGTTGTTATCTGCAAGAAGATGGGTCAAGTCAGTGCTACGCAGCCATCCATGTCTCCTTAAGTGTTATTTGTATTCATCTTCAGGCTCTGTTTCTTTTAATTGCCTCCTTTCTTATGATCACTGTTTTTGCTTCCAGCAGCTCTCCCATGTCAGTCTAATATAGTTAACTTTAGCATTAGTGAAGGGATACTAAGGAAAGTCAAGTAGCCCAGGCCTGTTAAGTCAGTTGAAATTGTAAGTTTATAATATATGGAATAGGGGTTTTCAGACTCTTTCTACTAAAACAAAGCGCCTCTGATTTAATAGTCTGTTAGAGGACCTTCCCATATCTGAATGGTTAATGGTCTGGTCTGAATGGGTAATGTTGCCCAGAGTACAGAATCAGTATTTTTGGTGTGTTTGCTACAGCAGAGTCAGAAAGCTTTGTACAATTTCAGTCGATCTAGATATTTATCTTTAAAAAAAAAAAAACCTTTATGTAACATATTCGAGTGTTTCATCTCTTAAACTAATTTGGAAATTTGTAGGGCTGCTCACTGGTTACTTTTGATTGTATTTTTTGAAATAACATTTTGTGTATCAATAGTATATAATAGAGATATAATAGATTTACTATTGTTGGCTTATTGTAAAATGCATGGATAATGAATTGTGCTTTTCTGTGTTTCTTCTTCCTGATTAGCTCCTGGGCTATAACGAAAAGCCGATAAATCTACAAATGTTTATTGGGACAGCAGATGATCGATATTTACGACCTCATGCATTTTACCAGGTGCATCGAATCACTGGGAAGACAGTTGCTACTGCAAGCCAAGAGATAATAATTGCCAGTACAAAAGTTCTGGAAATTCCGCTTCTTCCTGAAAATAACATGTCAGCCAGGTATTTTGAAATATACCTAAAATGGGCAGTTCTTTTTTTCTCTATATGTTCAGAAAAAAAGTAAATATATTTTTGAATATAAATATAAAATACTGTTCTAAATGGCATTATGTAAATAATGTGTGCATTTAGTACATTTGCTAAGAGTGGTAGCATATTTCCAGAAGGAAGATTCAATTTGGTAAATGTTATTGTACCATATACTACCAGCCAAGCCATTATTCTAGGTGATAGGGTTGTAAATACTGTATCTGGACTTTCATCAAATGGCTCACAGTCTAATAGGGTAGACAATAAATAAACAATTATGATACAGTTATGATTGTTTCATTTCCTTAAGGAAAACTTTTGGCTTTACCTCCAGGCATCCCATTTGACCCATTTCCAAATAAGATGAGGTGGCAAACTTCTGAATGAGTATGCAATAGAGTTTGATACAAAAGGATTAGTTAGGATTAGATATGGTTGTTTTTAATAGAAACCTGATATGCAGTTAGAGGTTTAGTGTTTAGAGGTTTAGTGTTTTATCACATAGAATAAATATACAGATGTTGTAGGGCTAGCACAGTAGCTCATAAGTTATTAGGACCCCAAGCAAGTTTTTTCTTCTCTGCCATCTTTAGCATGTGGTTTCCATCCTAAAGATTACCTTATGATCTAAAGTGGCTGCTGGAGCTCTACCTATGACATCCATATTTCCAGAAGGGATAGTAAGAAGAAAGGGGTGGAGGAAGGTTAAAAGGGAAATTCCAGGGCTTGGCGCAGTGGCTCAATCCTGTAATCTCAACACTTTGGGAGGCCAAGGCAGGTGGATCACAAGGTCAAGAGATCGAGACCATCCTGGCCAACATGGTAAAACCCTGTCTCTACTAAAAATACAAGAAATTAGCTGGGCGTGGTGGCTCACGCCTGTAGTCCCAGCTACTCAGGAGGCTGAGGCAGGAGAATTGCATGAACCCGGGAGGCTGAGGTTGCAGTGAGCCGAGATCGTGCCACTGTACTCCAGCCTGACACCTGGCAACAGAGCAAAAACTCTGCCTCAAAAAAAAAAAAAAAAAAAAAGGGGGAAATTCCATTAGTGTCGAATCCTCTTTTAAGAGCCTTTCCCTAAAATCTACTTAACAACTCTACATCTCATTGATCATGCTCATATTAAGGAGCACATGGTTATGTTTACCAGAACACATTGTCACTTCAAACAATGTAGGGAGGCTGAGCATGGTGGCTCATGCCTGTAATCCCAGCACTTTAGGAGGCTGAGGCAGGCAGATCATCTGAGCTCAGGAGTTCGAGACCAGCCTGGCCAAATGACGAAACCCTGTCTCTACTAAAAATGCAAAAATTAGCCCGGTGTGGTGGTGCCTGTTGGTAGTTCTAGTTACTTGGGAGACCAAGGTGGGAGGATCACTTGAGCCTGGGAGGCAGAGGTTGCAGTTAGTCGAGAGTGCCACTGCACTGCAACATAGGCAATAGAGTGAGATCCTGTCTTTAAAAACAACAAACAAGAACACAAACAATGTAGGGACGTATTACTAAGGAAGAAGAAAAGAAAGGATATCGAGTAGGCACCTGTTAATAAGTAGTAGGCACAACCAGGCATGCGAAACTTAGATTGAGTTTAATTCTTACAGAAGTTGTTTCAAACTACACTACCGACCTTTCTTAAGGCGGGAATAACATCCATCCAAGGCTGTTGCAAGAACGGTTCTACAAAAAAATCAGATTTCAGCTGGGCACAGTGGCTCACACCTGTAACCCCAGCCCTTTGGGAGGCCAAGGGGTCGGACTACTTGAGGCCAGGAGTTTGAGACCAGCCTGGCCAAGATGCTGAAACTCCATCTCTGCTAAAAATACAAAAAATTAGCCAGGCATGGTGGCAGGCACCTGGTAATCCCAGCTTCTCTGGAGGCTGAGGCCGGAGAATTGCTTGAACCCAGGAGGCAGAGGCTGCAGTGAGCTGAGATCGTGCCATTGCACTCCAGCCTGGACAACAAGAGCGAAACTCCGACTCAGAAAAAAAAAAACAGATTTCATTCTTGAAATCTCTTCATTTAAATTTATATTTAAATAAACTTTTTAGATGAGCTGAATATACTCCCTGAAGACATAGAAAGTGATATGCTTCTATTAGATAAAATAAGAATTGCCTCAATAAATAACTTATTCTGGAGGGATCACTTGAAGTCAGGAGTTTGAGACCAGCCTGGCCAACATTGTGAAACCCTGACTCTACTAAACAATAGAAAAATTAGCTGGGCATAGTGGTCCACATGTAGTCCCAGCTACTCCTGAGGCTGAGGCTTGAGAATCACTTGAATTCAGGAGGCAGAGCATGCGCTGACCCGAGATTGCGCCACTGCAACCCCAGGCTGGGCAACAGAGTGAGACTTAGTCTCAAAACAACAACAACAACAAAAAACCCAAAACAAAACCTTATTCTGTTACTTACTACCAGAAAAGAAAAGTTAATACAAATTTAAATAAAATCTTATTTTTTCCTGCTTTGATTCAAATGGCCAGTACTCAAGAATCCAATCCAGGAAATTATTGCATACGGGCTACGACAGAGTTTTTTTCATGGCAAAGGCAGACAGCTAGCTGATAATCTTTACTTTTAAACTTTTTTTTTTTTTTTTTTTTTTTGAGACAGTCTCACTCTGTTGCCCAGGCTGGAGTGCAGTGGCATGATCTCAGTTCACTACAACCTCTGCCTCCCAGGCTCACGTGATTCTCGTCCCTCAGACACCCAAGTAGCTGAGATTACACATGTGCACCACCATTCCTGGCTAATTTTTATATTTTTAGTAGAGAAAGAGTTTTGCCATGTACCAGACTGGTCTCAAGCTCCTGGCCTCAAGCAAGCCACCTGCCTTAGCCTCCTAAACTGCTGGGATTACAGACACGAGCCTCTGCACCTGGACATAAAAATTTGAGTTCTATAATGAAGAAAGAACTTTGGAATCTCAGCCTGTACTTGATACTCAAGCAAAACTCTTTTCTTGAGAAAAACATTGACACCAGGCATCCTGTTGGACACATTTTCAGATAAGGTAAGATGGCCAACCTCTGAATGAGAATATAAGTAGGCTTCTTTCCTTTTGTTCTGGTATCTTACTTTTTTATATAGCATCAGAAGCATGTGATATGTGACTAGCTAGCTGTAGAGGGAAATTTAAAAATCATCTTTGAACTATCTTTTTCCAAAAACTCAGGAAATTGATCCCTAGATGATAGTTTGCAGTTCATGTTTGCATTCATTCCTCTGGATCTTCAAAGCACGATGTTTAAGTCAAGTTAAATAGAAAAATCACAAGTTTATTCTGTTTCTTAACTTGGCTTGAGGGACAGTATGAGAAATAGCCATAACCATACTTCACAATCTGAAAAACTGCTATTAAAGACACTTTCTCTAATGTTGATCATTATTGCATGTGTGTGTTTATGTACACAACCATAGTCCTTTCAACTAAAAGGAAAAAAGTTAATGTTTCCTGATGGCATGGTAGATTTTTCTTTAGCAGACAACAAGTGGCCTATAACAACTTTATCACATTTACTTTTTGTCTTGACTTCTAGGAACTTCGTAGTCAAACTCATTTACAGTAATTATAGTAATTTGTACAACCCTAGACTTGGAGTTTACTTCCTATGGTGTTTTAAAATTTATTTCTTTTTTCTTGGCTTTATTTATATTTAATTGTAAAATGCCTCATCGTTTCTGAAAATAATATATAAACCAGTAAATAAAGAGAAAAGAGTACATTAATTTCTATGAAAAATTCTTGAGAAATTGGGAAAAGCTCACATCCCAAATAATGTGAAAGAATTGGAGCAGTAGGATCTGAATTTACCTGTCTCCTTCATCATCTCCCATTTACTAGCACATGGAACAAGGGTAATAGTAATAATTTATATCCCCTCCACAACCTGATCTGGCATATACTGTCTGTGTGGATTAGACCAGAAAGGGCAAAGTTGCAGAAATACCACTATGGCTAGTAACATACAGCTAGTCCACCCCCTGCAACGCTGCCACACACGTACCTGAAACTTCTTGGCTATTCTATCTGCTTTGTACTGGTAAATAGCGGAACAGGAGTTCTGTAGGACCCAAGGGTTATATATATTGGAGAAAGGAGTAAGTAAGGGGCAGCTAGGATGTTATTAAACTTAAGAAATCTTTTTCAGGTACTTTAGTTAATGGGATAGCTAATGATGAACAAGCCTCTTTACTCAGCAGCTAATTGCTAGAATTAACTAGTATCCTAGTAGCTTGTTGAATGCAACTGTATTATTCAGTACAATGGTTGAATATAATATAGTTTCAGATAATGGTAGGTATAAAATTTCCAGATGATAGATAAGACCGTGGTTCAAAATAATTTATGCTAAGTGAGCCTTAAGTATGTATTAAGTGTTTTTATTGTTCTCGGCTTCTTTTTTTTTTTTTTTTGAGACGGAGTTTCGCTCTTGTTACCCAGGCTGGAGTGCAATGGCGCGATCTCGGCTCACCGCAACCTCCGCCTCCTGGGTTCAGGCAATTCTCCTGCCGCAGCCTCCTGAGTAGCTGGGACTACAGGCACGCGCCACCATGCCCAGCTAATTTTTTGTAGTTTTAGTAGAGACGGGGTTTCACCATGTTGACCAGGATGGTCTTGATCTCTTGACCTCGTGATCCACCCGCCTCGGCCTCCCAAAGTGCTGGGATTACAGGCTTGAGCCACCGCGCCCGGCCTAGTTTTTATTGTTCTCTTAAGGCAATAAGGTGTGGAAAGATTGGTAGATATTCTCTTGGTTTTGCCTGCTAAACCACAGGCTTGGTTATGTCAAGCCTAATCTCTCTTGGATATGTAAGACTTTCCTTTTTTTTTTTTGAAACCATTATACTAATCCATAAGCCACAGAGCTACCCTACAAGATGCTTTAAATATAGGATGCCAGTACTTATTACCTTAGCTATTTGCTCCTCTGTTTTTTAACACTGGATTAATATGGATGTAGTAGTGCTACACCTTGATTTAAAATGTAGTTTTAAAGGTAATTTAATACTTATTTTCATTGCTACATTAACGTTTTTTTCTTTTTTGTTTTGTTTGCTTTTTTTTTTTTTTTTTTTTTTTTTTTTTTTTTTTTTTTTTTTTTTTGCATTTAAGAGTTTTCAGTCCGGGCACGGTGGCTCACGCCTGTAATCCCAGCACTTTGGGAGGCCGAGGTGGGCAGATCACGAGGTCAGGAGTTCGAGACAAGCCTGGCCAACATGCTGAAACCCTGTCTCTACTAAAAATACAAAAATTAGCCAGATGTGGTGGTACACACCTGTAATCTTAGCTACTCAGGAGGCTACGGCAGGAGAATTGCTTGAACCTGGGAGGCAGAGGTTCCAGTGAGCTGAAATCGCGCCACTGTACCCCAGCCTATGGGACTCCGTCTCAAAGCAAGACTGTATCTTAGAAAAAAAAAAGAGTTTTCAGATGTACTTTCTGGTACTGTTATTTCACTTCTGTTAGAAACTTAGCTTGCTGCTAGAATGCCTTTGGCCATTATTAATGACACAGATCATCTCTGCTGTTTCCTCTCAAGACCCATGTTGGCATGTTAGCATGATAATCACTAATTTGATACAACTTGATCAATACTGCTTTGAGCTAAAGTGCAGTTGTTCAATATCAGTTATATCATTTGTTATTTCTAAATGGCAAATGCTTTTTTAATTTTCAAAATCATTCCATTTTTTAAAAATTTCTTTTCCTGTGTCTTTCTGAAGATGAAAAATTTTGAGTGGCTTAATTCCTTTTGGGATTCTTTCTTCTGCTTTACTGGTTCTTGTCTTTTTTTTTTTTTTTTTTTTTTTTTTTTTTTTTTTTTTTTTTTTTTT